GGAGAAAACCAACTTTGGTGTGTATGAAATTTTTCTTCTCTTTAATTCACGGTGTAGTGGATGGACCCTGAAATATACGACGGGCCGTTGAAATGGGCATTAAAAAGAGCACCCGAGAGGGCACTTAAACTTGGACGCGTCCTGTATAATCCGTATATAGCCCCCATGTAGCTACGAAGAGTCTGGACGTGCCTTTAATACGATTTAAGCCGTAAGCCAGAGCTACCCGTGTTACGAACTACGGGTTTTACTCTCCACCATTGGCCTTGGAGATGCTCTGCCCCTGTGTATACACAAATACCCACACAATTTCAATAAAAAATAGGTAAAAAAAGCGATGGAGTTGGTGTTGGTGTGCACATATGAGTGCCAGCACGCGCGACCAGATCGAGATCCACTTCGTCGATCCTCATGACCACCTTTTGTTAGTCAAATTTATATATAAAGAAATAAATTACTGGAGGAATAGCTAGAGTATAGACATTAATTGATTTTTTGGCTATCGAAGGCATTTCCATTTCGAACGTTCAAATTTTTTAAAACAATTATTTTGGATCTGGATGTCAAATTTCGAATTTTTATTTTTTTAGGGAGTTTAATACTGATGGATGTAAATCGATGTTTTGGCGATTGATCTGATTGAGATCCGGATGTTCAGTCGGAAAATTTATCGAAAATATTGAAAACTTGAATTTGGAGTGAGATTAAGGGATTCTAAAAATTTTTAAATACAAATTTTTTAACTGAATCTTCTGCCTGATGAAGTGAAATTACATTTCGAATTTGAATTTTTTTTTAATCTTCAGTATGAATAGAAATAAATTGCCATTCGTTCGATTGAAATAATTTAATTTCGATTTTGAATCTTCAATCAGATTCTAAAAATTTTTAAATACAAATTTTTTAACTGAATCTTCTGCCTGATGAAGTGAAATGATATTTCGAATTTGAATTTTTTTTTTATCTTCAGTATGAATAGAAATAAATTGCCATTCGTTCGATTGAAATAATTTAATTTCGATTTTGAATCTTCAATCAGCATTAAATTGAAATTAAATTCAGTTATCAATTAAATCGAGTACTCGAATCGTCTTGGAGATGAATAAAAAAATCAAGGGAGAAATGAATCAATGAAGAATCAATGTATTGACTGGAGGAAGAGACCTGTATGGGCTTTCCAGGAGCACAAAAAGAGGCGACCGTTAGCAAAATAATTCGTCACATCCATTGATCATCGCGGCTTTCCAGTGGATTTATTTACCAATTGGGAAGCCGTTCATTGCCCTCAGAAGACGAGGTCAACTACGTGCAAGTGCTCAGTACGATACATACACGCGTTTTTATTACATTATTGAATAAGTACTCGATGTGCTTTTAGTGTTGCCGGTCGAAACTCACTTTTGTCGGATCAACACCTCGTCCCTCCGGGAGAACGAGTTTCAGGGCCTTGTTTGGTGGTTATCTTCGAGGCCAATAATCACGTTTTTTGGAGAATCAATTACCGTATGCATTGAGCACGTGAATTATTCTGCATTGTCGAGTTGAAATGAGACAAATTCAGAAGTGAAAAGGTGAAGAAAGGAGTCGACTCAGAACTTTTCCGTGAATTTCTCCGCCTCTACGGGAGATAGCGAAATTTTTGTTAAGAACTTTTTTGTAGGTCTCATTCCAAGCTAGGGAAAAGGTTCTCAGAAAAATTTCGCTTTACCTACTCGATCTCGAGATATTTCGACTCATTTCGATTCGTCTCAATTAAGTCGAATTCACAATTTTTATTACTCCTCTAATTTTATCAATTTATCTGGAAAACTATTGATTGCAGGTAAAAATCATATGGGACAGTAATTGTAGTTGATAAAATTTCCAACAAAAAATTCCTCTGGGATTTCTCCAAAAAATCAGTAGTTTTCGATACATTCGATATTTAAAAGTGTATAAAAAAATAAAAATTCGAGTAATTAGACTTGATCACTTCTGTACTCAAATTAAATCAATTTCCCAACGATTCAATGACCCCGAAGCAGGTCAAACACGTGCACACTCCACGTTGGACATCTCCACACTTTTTTACAACTCCGGTTAATAAGTACGTGATGCAGTTTTCAAGTCGTCTGGAGCTGACTTTCGTCAGTGACCAATTCCACGCCTCTTTTCCTTGGGGGGACGAGTTTTATCAGAGGCTCTCGTGCAGCCAAAATGTTATAATCGCACAGTGGCAATTATAACGGGTGACGGAAAAAAATCATGGATTATTTTTCAGGTCATCGTTTCCATTCACATGAAAAATTCATTCCCTCCTGTAATTACGTGTGAGAAGTATTTTGAAATAATGACAGACACCAGGTATTCATCTCCTGCCTCCTCCAGAGATATTCAATAAGACGGCATTTGCATATTTTTCACGATTCGATCAATACGATTTCGTGATTTCAAACCACTGGAACGTGACTTTTTTAGTTATTTCAAAATTTATGTCTGACGTTTTGACAGGATTTGATGGGTTATTATTTTTCATTCCACCTCTATTGAATCTAGGTCTAGGGCATTGACTTGTGCTCAAGAGATTAGAATTTTCGGAACATAAGTCATAGAAATGATAAAATAATAATATTTATGATTTAAAAAATTAACAAAACTGTGAAAATCCCTGGAAATCATACAGAGAGAAATTGAAATCGAATTCAAAGTTTTGAATCTTCGAATTTATTTAATTATTTCACTCGAGACAATGTTTTATTTTCTATTGTGACATGGACTCTACCGTAATCTTCACATGAATCCACGATTTTATGTTAATGGATTTGAAGTAAGAAGTAATTAATGGAGGATTAAATCAAATGGAAGATTAGTTCCTCGAAACTCGGTGTTATCATCGAGTGGAGAGATTTTAGCTCAGGGAACCGCAAGAGCCAGTGGAATGTTTTGGGGTGTCACTTCGGATTTGCAGGGATTAATAATCCGAAGAGGACAGAATATCTTGAACTGAGGACTGAAATCAACCTCGACAGTTCAGCGAAGCATTGATTGAATAATTTAATAGATAAAAATTAATATTCAATCATTTCGAATGATTTATTTTAATCTGATCTATTTTTTCTGTCCTCGTTCGATTTATTATCACGAATTATTTATTACCTAGTAATTTATTTTTAATAATCAATAAACGAAAACCCAAAATTTCTATTTCAACAATTGCAATGGATTTAATTAAATTTTTCTTTCAAATACGATTCCAGAATTTTCCCCAGTCGTTAATTGAAATTAATTTTAATCATGCCAAGAGCACAAATCAATTATTTTCTGTGCGATCAATAAAAAACCGAAGCTTGAATAAAATAAAAAGTGGTATCAGAATAAAAAAAAATGCAAAATGTCTGCAAAATTTTGTGGTGTGATGCGACCGTAATCTCATATGGATGGCAGAGGATCCGCGACCCTGTAATTACAAAATTGCGTTTTCCTTTACTCCTCGACAGGCCCTCTCGGGCGGGGCCAGTCCTGGGCCCAAAATACGGCTTCCGTACAATCTGTATCGCGTTATAAATAGCATGAGACGTGCAGAAGAGTGTGGCCCCCAGGAATATAAACTCGTCCTCTCTCGATACGAAAGACAGGGGCAGAATAAACGAAAAAGACCAGTTAAATAAAAATGGAATGAGAAGTGCTTCCACCAATGTACGATCATTATCGCTGCTAGCCAATAATCATTGTAATTCGAGAAAATTATCGTAACGAGTCCTCAATATTCCAGAGATCGAGGATAAAAATATGTTTAAATTATTGTTTGCATGGGGAACATTAAATTTTCGCTGTTTATGACGGAGTAATGACGAACTTTTATTCTTTGGGGATTTTTCAATCGAGAATGTGGCAATCCGGTAATTCCGTTCGTTTTTATGGGAATTCACAGCTTCTCCTGTTGCAATATGTAAATACGAGGAGTATCTGGGTTAAGGGGAAAGTCCAGAAGATGTTCCTTGAGTTATTCAAGTCAGTAGAGAAGAGGTAAAACGTAACGGATTTAGGTGATAAAGTTGAGTTAATTTTTGAGGCTTATCTCTGAATTAAAGAGTGGAAATTTTTTGTGGAGTACTTTCTCGGTACTCTTGATTCATCCTGCAAGTACTCTCTGGTTGAAATTTAACTGTCGTAAATTCAGAGATATTTATATAGCCAGAGTGCATGTTTTATCATTTTTTCTGGTAAATTATCGATGGGATTGAATGAGTATTTAATAACGGCTCACGAAATTTTGTGGTGGTGCCATCATTTTCAGACATTTTCACTACAATTTGTGGTTCTTCTTAAAAATTCATAAAAAAATGAAGAAAAATATTTTCACCACGTTGTATGTTCGTGATTCATTAAACAATGACAAAATACAAAAAAGTTATAATTTGGTAAATAAAATTATGATTTTTCACTTCAATCCCTCAGTAAATTTGCCAGAAAAATGAAAAACCGTTCATTTTGGATTTCGATGGGTGTAGAACGCCCTCAATAGCAAAAAGATTTCCATTAAGATCAGATTTTCACCGAAATCCTCAACCTTCAAGAAATCGAAGAAGTTAATTAATTAATTATTGAAAACCCCTTCGTCGGTCGAGTCATCCCCCGAAAAATTGTCACCCAGAAAAAATAAAAACAAATAAATATCTACTAGAAGCTGAAGTAGTGCTTACCAGTAGCTCGAACCCCTTCTGTTCAGTTTCCTCTGCTGTCTAGGGTGAATTAATATTCTCGTCGTTTCTTGAACTCATTAAAATCATCTGAAATGACCGAACAAATCAATTTAATGTATAAAAACACGTTTTTTCCCGGTTTATTCCCCTTACAATTGTCCCGGCCACGAATTCGTTCCGAAATTCTCAAAATACTAACCAGCGCCATCTTGCGGCGCCACGGGGACTCCGCCTGCGTCGACGAATCAGAGCGCGCGTCACTCAAAATGGCGGCACCTGCGGCGCACTTTTGGCGCCAATTCGTCACTTGTTGCCGGATCGAACGTGTTTTCGCATGTTTCATCGCGTCTCCGTTGATTTAATTCATTTAATCAAGCAAAAAGAAATTAATTACCCTCGGCTAAATCCACAAAAGTTGGGAAAAAGGGACAAGTGTCCAGTGCCGATGCTCTCGTCTCTTGAGATTCATAAATAATGCAACAACCACCGAAACGTCCGAAATTATCCAGTGAATCGTGTATCGCCGACATCTCCACGTCCATTGGTATGTGGGAATAAAATTATTGGAATATTCAGGGATTTTTACGCATGGGATAAAGCGTGGAGATTGTTTTAGGTTTTTTCTTCGTTGGGGAAGAATTTTTTATTGTTTTTCAATTGGGGTAATTGTGGAAAGGGAAAGAGTTGTCTAGAGTCCTTTGTTTCTAGAGAGCATTGCAGGCATCGTTAAATCCATTGGGGACAGTCACTCGACCTTTCTGAAGGTCAACAAAGCTGTTGTGAATTATTTGCTGGAGGAGAGGAAGAGGACTGACGCTGTGAACCTTGACGTTACCGGAAAATCTGACAAGTAAAGGTAGGGTTCTCCAATTTTTTGCAGACGAGTCAATGTTTTTTATGGACGTTTTATGGATTTTTTGGGTTTTTTTGGGACATGGGGTTTGAATGTCTTGAAAATTGTGGATGAAAGGAATAATTGAATTATCAATTGCTGAGAAGTTTTTGGGGATAAAAAAATGTTGTCACGGGTGAGAGATATTTTCATGGAGAATTTTCTGGACTGCGAAAGATTTCTCTCTTTTTTTTGTGCAAAAATTGGGAATTGCGAAATTTTTTTGGGAATTTTCAATTCTCAATTCAGTGTCATTTTTTTTCCTTCAAAATTACGACATTTTATTTATCACAATTTATACATGGCGTCAATTATTTTATTATTAATGAAAAATTTTCTCACTTTCCTCGTATTCCTCACTGACTGACATGAATAATATACATAATATAAAATAGATGAGTAAAACATTAAATTAGAATGAAATTTTAATGATCTGGACAGCCAGGGGCATGAAAATACTCCACTGAATACTGGGAAAAAATTTTTCTTGTCAATAAATTCTCATTTCGGTATCGAAATTTCAGAATTTCGCAATTGATTTATTGACGTATTTTTCCTAGGAGTATTTTTATTCTTATGAAATGATTCGAACAATTGTAATATGGTAATGGATAAGAAATCAGGGCTCATCTTTGTGTTTTCTCCGTGGATCAGACGCGTCGATGGGAATAATTAGTGGAGGAGTCTCTCCCGTTCCCATAGGAAATTTGTAGTAAAGTCCCTCGAACATATTTTTCGACGATATCGGATGACATCTGTAATTAACACAATCAACATGAGCCTTTCCCCGTCCCAATCTAATTTCAAACAAAAAATAAATCAACGAGGCAAAATCAGTAGCAAGAAGACAGTGTAACAAGTCGATTTGCCTAATCTCCAAGTTTTCGAGGAATCTCTCTAAACCCAATAAAGATATCGCTATTTTAGTGATTATCTTTTTTATAGCTCTTATTCCACTCTCCAAAATATGTCCGAATGAAAAGTTCGGTATCTCGTGTAGATTCCGAGATATTCCTCTAAAACTAGACGTTAATCTACATTTTTGTGAAATAATTAATATTAAACTGGGAATATATTAATTATTCAATTAATTTCAAGTTGATGTAGCACTAGTGCCTAATGAGCTACAGAAAATGAGAGAAAATATATAAAAAGCAGAAATGGTGAAGCGTTTTAGGGAAAAGGGAAAGCCAAAAAAAAAAACCAATCCCTCGATTTCATGCAATCCTTACAGATCGCGCAGTAGATCCACCACCACCTCCACCACCACCTCCACCACAATAATCCCATCAAATCTTCACAAGAAAATCATTTTCCCGTCATCACACCTGCACGTGCTCTGATCAAAATAATATCCAGTGTTGCACTCCTCAATATTTCTACAGAGGCAGTTGCACGCGTCAGGATCCCACAATTTCGTGTCATTACTCTTCCTGCATTTTGTCTCCTCATCACCATTCTGGCATATGCACCTGCAATTCTGGATTTCGTACTTCTGCTTCTGAGTGCAGTCCTGAAATGAAGAATTAAATGAGAGGTTCACGACGCCAGTGAAAACTAAAAACTATTAGTGAACAATTAATCTGGCCTACCTCTGGTTTTATCGTGCACTGACAGTCGCACGATTTGTGCTCTTCCAGGAGAATTATTTCCTTACCAGAATATTTCGGTTTCCCATTTCCTCCTATTGTCGATTTTATCACCTGAGGAATGAGACAAAAAAATTGTCATTTAGTAAATTAATTGTAAAAATTCTGATAGGCTCATCTGTTGAATTCTATTCTAGGGCTTTTGATTTTGCTTTTGATTCTGTGAGGTTCCTCCTCGGGGATTCGGGATTTTCGTCTAGTCGGTAATGACGTACTTCAAAATTTCGAACTTCTGATTCAGTGGGTTGACAGGAAAGTAAAGCATGTCCGCAACAGCCACCGCATCTTTTTATTCTCGTGCAGGATGGATAATACGTCACTGAAGTATCATCTGTCTTAAATGGAACTGGTTGCAGTTCAGGTATGCATTTCGCAGGCTTCGGGCGTATCGCGTTCGTTCTCTCCTCACCTCCAAAACGATCTGTCAAAAATAATCATTCGATTTTAAAACAATTAGTTGACGAGACAAAATGAATTTTTACAAAAACGACAAACCGCTCCCTCGATCGCCATCGATATCGATCGATTCCCAAAAAAATCGTCGGTCTATATTATAAAAGTTAAGTGCAAATGACAAATAATATGAATTATCTGATTATTGAATAATTTATATAGTGAAAAGAAAAAAATTGTTTTAATATGCAATTTTATTTGTTGCAGAGATGGGGGACGAACTTTCGCAAGCGGTTTCCTTTCTAAACAGTTACTTCACCCTTGTTGACGGCCTAGCATCGGATTTGGAGGATCATCTGGCTGACGATGTCGTCCTGGACTGGTTTGGTCAGACGATCAGGGGTCGTAAGGCAGTGGCTTCCTTCATGAAGTTCCAGAAGATAAAATCGAGGCACGTTTTCAATGAAATTACACCGAAGACCAGCATTGGATATCGAGAAAATCGATCATTGAGAAGAAAGCACCATTCCACTGGGGGTATTTCCTTCAACAACAACGCCCCAGAGGAGGAAACCGATTGCCCATCAAAGTACAAACGAAAATGCTACTCTGACGTTTTTCCCCAACACGTAGACAACTTTGCAGATGACAGCATTATTTTTGAGACGTCTCTCTCTTCGACTTCGTCCTCAGAGCAGACAATGGAGGTGATGGATCACGTAATCGAGAGAGAATTAAATATGGATAAACTTCGTATCAACAGTTTCTCGACGCCCCAGGTGAATTATCAGCCACATTCAGAGAATTTTTGCGGCCATGATACGACACCTGATGCAGAGATGACAGTCAACTTTGAGCCGACGAATGTCGAACAGATGGAAATTAATATTGCAGAGCTGAAGGCGAGGGAAATCCTCAACAGGGAGATTGGACAGGGGGACGTTGACAGGTCGTCACTCAAGTTCCTGGAGGCTTGTGGAGTAATCGAGTTCTGCAGATTCTTCAATTCACAACAGATACGGAAGGACACGAGAAAACGTCACAGTAAATTGCAGATTGCCTACTCGATTAAGGATGTGAATTCTAATCCACCAGTTGGGGGGAAGGAAAATCGCCAGGGGATCGAGGACGACCTCGAGGAGGAGAGGAACCAATTTCTCAAGTGTCTTCAGCTACAGATGAGGCAGCAGGAGGGCAACATCAATGCGCTGTCAACTCCGAAATATGTGAGGGGTCAATTGACGTTTGAGAGGGGCAACGGGGACGTGGGGGCTGGTGATGGAAATTTTATTTTTAATTATAAGATTCATTTTATTATTTATGAGAGCAATACCAAGTGTCGAATGAATCTGTCACACGAGTTCGAGGGGAAAGAGTACTCGGAGGAGGTGGACTCATAGCTTAGGGTTTTCCTTTTTCTGGGGAAGTGTGTGGTGAAGTGGAAGGAAATCCAGGCCAAGGGATTTTCCCTATTTTTTTTTCTTCGTAATTATGATAGTCATTAGATCAACCAGGATATGAGATTTTGAGGCATATTTCGGAATTCGGAAGATTATTCAAATAAGTCATCCATTATTTTACTATTTTCAGGATCAGAGGCGTGAATTATTTTTTTAATCTGTGAAATTATTTTTCTGACAACTCGAACACTTCACCACAGGACTAGTCTTTAGTTCGATTCATTGTTTTTTTTTTTGACGTTTTTTTTGAAGTTTTTTTTCTAGTTTATCGGTTCATAAGACATTGTTTGCATTTTATTCTTTTCAATTTTACCTTCGAACAAAATCGATTCGAGTCGTTACGTTAAATATTGTAACGTAAATCGTACTATTAGGTAGTCATTTGGGGCCGTAATAAAGGAGAAAGTTTTGGTATTTGGTCTAGAAATTATTGATTCAACTGCTCGGTAATTATCCACACTGGATTTTTGGTGAGTCATCGACCAGTTTGTGATGATTTCGCCAAGAGTAATTAGAAAAATGTAGAATCCGGTTTTTAAGACCGTCCACTTACTGGTCATTCCGGATATCTTCTCGTTGTCTGGGACTCCCTCCAGCATATTCAGAAAATCGTCTACTGAGTCCAATTCGTTTATTTGTTTCGCCACTGATAAGGATAACTGAAAAATAAAATTCATTGAGTCATCAATAACGAGATACAGCACTCCCTAGGGCTTAGATGAATTTATCCCAAAAGAATTAATCCCAGATAAATCATTCCAAAAAACTAATTCTCTAGTTCGAGCAACAATTTATTGCAAATATTAAATAAAAATTATCTGAAATTGAAAAGTGAAAATATAGTGAATGGAAGAAAATAATATAACGTGAGGGAAATGAAGACAGCGCAGTAATATTTGCATGAAACAATCAATAAATATTGAAAAATGTTAATTTATATGTTTAAAAAATAGTGTAAGAGAAAAAGTGAAATGGACGTTTTAATTCGAAAATACATTTCTCTTATCTGTTTACTACACTGAATCACTGGAATTATCTAGTAGCATGTTTCGGAGATTCGATTTCTAGTTAATCTAATCGGAAATTAAATCGCGATAGGAGCCGCACCTGTGCGTTTCATCCATTCAATGCTGAGTGGATTACCCTATTTTTATTTCTCATGATTACTATTTTATGGGGAAATAACTATTTCATCTTGATGAGTGTATCAGTAAAAAGTGAATGGACTCGATTTTTTTGACAATTTTTTAAATTAGTCTGTTTATTCTGTTTTATTAATCCAATTATAAGTTTCTACGTCATGAATTGAGTGAAATGAAATCCAGAATAATTGTATTGCCAGAATTTCTTTGTCTTTTTATTATTTTCACGTGCCCGTCATTGAAATATTTTATCTGATAACTATTTTCTCGGTGAGTCACTCGTGCGCCTTCCGATGAGGTGAGTAATGGTAAAAATTAATTAAGTCGACAGGTCAGGATTGCAACGGATTGCTGAAGTATTCATGCAGTTGCTGGGCTAGATTTTTTCATGAATATCCCTGGGGTTTTTCCGCGAGGAAGGGATTCCCGATTGCCTTTTTGTTATTTTCAATTGATTTTTTTTTTCTTTCTCATTATGGACAGGCATGACCGCAAGATTCATTATTGTGTCCTGGATAATGAATGACCTTGCTGATTATCTGCACTTTATTTTATCAGTGGAGGATAAATATTTGGGCGTTAAATATTTTCCTGATTGTGAATCACAGATAATCCCATTTTTTTTTTCAATTCAATGAATCTTAGAATAAAAAAAAATTTTTATCGAATTCTATAATTAATTCAAACATAATAAATTATATAAATCTAATAATATATGAATAATATATATATTGAATATTATACATTGATATTTATATTACTAGTGAATATTTATAAAATTTCTAAATGAAAAACAAAAAAAAAATCGCAAGTGCGTTCCCAGGAATCGCCAGGAATTCCTCCGCAGATATTTCACCTGCAGTTCAGGTTTTCATTTCTTTCTTCGATACAACAGCTAATCTTTCCAAGAAACCAACCGCTGACTGATATAAACCGGAAAAATAACGGCAAATAAAAATTGATTCCCTGAAACAATTGCAAACTGGTGTATTTCAGTCTCGGAATTCAGCGAATAATTCGAATTCCCGAGCCAAAATAGCCGGAGGTGATCAATAAATTCGTATCACTAATTTCCCGGAAAATCCCGCGTATTTTACGCATCTAGTGAATTTGCACATGTCGCGTATCAATTACGCGTGATTGTTGTTTATCATTTCATTTTGTTCTGCAATTATTTCCGACGTTTTATTAATTTTTCAATCAAGGCTGCATTAATTTTTTTTTAATTTATTTAATTACTCCACATGTTTATAATTGTTTCTTGTAATTGCAATTACAACAAATCATTCAATAATTTTTTTATTTCACTTGAAATTCAATTATTGCTAATTTCCATGACAAATATTTTTTGAACACTTGATGATTTGATGATAAAATTATTATTGTCGATTACTTTATTGAATTATTTGCTTGGGGAGATTTTTCGGGGCGTCACGAATTTTATAATGGGTTTCAACGGAATATTTAAGGGGAATTCGTGATTGAATTCTTTGAGAAGTCACAGCTGTTAATCTATCCTCGACATTATTATGTCTCGAGGTCGCATGGACCCAAGTCACATATTGAAAAAAAAAACCCACTGGCAACTCGAATGTCACCATTCTCTATTCTGTATCATCTATCATTTGCACTCGACAAAATAATTAACTATCGTGATACCTTCTGTCAACAGACGTCACATCACCGCAAACTTGAAAATATCAAGGAAAATGCAGGTGTTTGTCACAGGCATTCGTCTATGAATCCATCTCAACACCGGGTTCACATTTACGTAATAAACCGCCAGGAAAATAATTACCTAAACATACGGTAATTTTTGCTATTCGACATTCGCGAAATTCTGGAATTTTCGGTCGTTTGCAACTCGAATTGTGAAGGGATAGATTTAATCCGGTGATATCTCTGGATCTGAGGGAGATAATGGATTTTTGGAGAGAACTTATTTTGTAGAAGGGAATGAGAGCCTCAAAAAAGGTCTCACAAAAATTTTTGTGACTCTTTCAGATTCCGAGATAACGGTCGAAAGCTAGATTAGCGAATTTCACTTTTTTATTAAATATCGATTAATCCCGAGAATTGTTGGTTTTAGAAAAAAATGGTAAAGGAGCTTTTTCATCAAGAATTCAATTCCCCACAAAAAAGTCCTTTCGAATTTCCCTCGCTGATCGATACCCTCCGAAATAACTCAATAATTAAAAAAAGTGAAATCCACTATTCACCAATAATGATTTCAAATCAAAAACTTTCTGTCCTTCCCAAATAATTCAGTACCAAAATTACAGTAATTATAATTACTATTCTTCCTTATGGTTTCTACTGGGATTAACCTTAAAATGTTTTTATTTTTATAAAATATATTGAAATGATTTGAACGGACGTCTCACCCGTTGTCAGGAATAAAACGAAAGGGAAAGGAGAAAAATAAAAAAATGTGGTAAAAAATAAAAAAAGGGATAAGAAATGAAAAGAAAAATACCGATATCGACGTCTGCTCGTTGTCACTGTCATCTTCACGTGCTCTCCCTTTAAAATTTGGATTATTGGTATTGATAGGTCCAGGAAACATGACAGCACCTGGATCTCCATAATACGTATTGCGTTGACCCACAGCCAGACTAAAAGCAGCAGCAAGTACCCACAATTTCATATTGAAATCCTTGGAGTTCTCGGAATCAGAAGGGCTGTCACTGAATAATAATTACAAAAACGCGCACGATCTCCCGCGGAAAAACCGAAGGCCCTGACAGACATTCGGTTCACAAGGTTCACACCTCCACCTCGCACTGGCGACTGTTCGATTCAACCTGCGTCTCTCGATAATGTGGAGAACACAAATTCAACCAACACTTGCTGCCTTATGATAATGCATGTGGAAGCGAATGAACGCATTTGAAATGAGAGAGCTGCGCACGCGCAGCCCGGCTTGTGAAAATTAAATCGCCATTCGTGCGGATAATTGCATATAACCGAAATATGTATATATTCATTATATATGTATCAATAATTTGGAGAAAACGAAATTTATGCACTTGGAAATAAATAAATTATTTTTTTTTATGCTTATTATTAATTATTTTATGCTTTTTTTTATGCTTATTAAAAATTCTGATTTTTGGATTTTCATTTTTACGATTTATTTGAGTTTTTTATTATCACCTAGTAAACGACAATGTCTGATTGGTTTCATTAAAAATCATGCTGAAAAATCATTTTTTCGGAATTCAAACTGACCGCTGAATATTCAGCGCAAATACTCTGCGCAACGCATCGAAGCATGCGCATTGCATTTATTGCGGGTTTCGCGCGGGGAAATGAGGAGTGGACAGGTGGAATTTCGGGAGAATTGTTTATAAGATTTCCTGTTTATTCACTGGAGCCTTTGGAAAATCTGGAGGGATGTTTTGAGGTGGAGGGATGTCCTCAGAGGGTGAATCTACTGGGGTAACAGACACGGATAACGAACCCGATTCTCAGATTCTTGACGTTTGCAAACACGTGCTTGAGGAGTCAGCTGTTGAATTCCAAAGGGACAATAAATGTATGTCCAGAGGTTTTTTAATGTTCTCGCTTTAGATTTTTTGGATGAGCTTCAGGAGCTGAAACGATTTCTCGAATTCATTTCTACGAGAATTTCCTGTTCTCATATTATTTTTTCATGATCTCTAAAACACATTTCAAGTGACAGAGAAATGATTTCTTTTTAATTATGGAATTTGTTACGAATGTAGACTCATGAGCTCATTTATTGATAGCAATTAAAACTCAATTTATAATAATTTTAAAAATAACAGTTTTAATACAATTTTCGATTAAGACAAAAAGATAGTGTTACGACTAAATAAATAGTGATCATTTAATAATAATAATAGGAGAAATAAATGAGATATATTTTGACAAGAGAATTTTATCAGTCTCAGATTCAAGTTTATTGAAGCTCTCGACAGTCTTCGGTTCAGTGTTTGAAAGAGCAATTGAGCTTCACGAATTGGGAAAATTCACGAAAGTAACAGGATTCGACCCTCAGACAACTGGTGCTTGGAAAGAAATCTATTCGTCTCGTTGGTTGATCCAGGTTGAAGGCCTCTCAGGAGAGAGTTACACAATTTTTCCAGGTGTTAACTACTGTCCCTGTCCCGCATTCAAATTCCACGTACTCGGAGATCATTCGGACGTGACCTGCAAGCACCTCCTGGCTGCCTGGCTGGCAAATCTCACTCCAGAGAAAATAATCCAGAAAAATATAACACCCACACAATTCGAGAACCTACTCCTTCATCAAGTCTCTTACGATCAAGATGAACTCCCAGATTGAAGATTATCAATTCGTGGCTAAATTGGGAAATCTCAAAACAGTTGTGCTATTACTGAGATGTGTGAATTTTCGAGAGGTAATTAATAAGAACCTGTGGAGCTCCCAATAATTGAATTTTAATTACCGTGAAAGCAAAATGGAAATAAGAATTACAGAAAAAAATTTTTATTATTCAATTTATCTGTCAATATCAAACTTATTGGGCTCAATGACAACAAAAATTGTAATTTCAAATTGAATTTCAGAACGCAATGTGTTTTGCGTCTGACAACGGTCTGAAAATCACAGTAGAGGACTCAAAGTGCATCCAAGCAAATGCCTACCTCCCATCGAACGTTTTCCAAGAGTACGACCTGAAGGAGGAAGCTATTTTCAGGATCAATCTTACTGTTCTGGTTGAGTGTCTGGGGATGTTCTGGAGTCAGATATCATCAGCAGGTACTTCTGTGGCTCTTCAAATTTATTACAAAGGTCATGGCCACCCAGTGACAGTATTAATTGAAGAGGATGGAATAATCACGGATTGTTCATTAAAAACACAAGAGCCTGAGGAACTCCTCGACTTCCAGATTCTTCCGGATAAGGTCCTCAATAAAGTCATACTGCAGACAGAATTACTGAGAGATATCTGGAGTGAACTGGATCCCACGTGTGAATTTGTTGAGGTCATTACGATTTTTTAATTGTGCCAGTAGAGATTCCTCTTATTTTCAAATTTTATCTGACATTCCACTAATTTTAGAAAATTCAACATTAAAAACTAGAACTTGAAGAAAATCGGTATGGATATAATCAATCGATATTTTCACGATGTCAATTTTTTTTTTTCAGTTGCTACTCTCCCCGAATCCCCCATATTTCCAAATAGGCACTGATGGACTAGCTGGTGAATGCCGGATAGAATTACCCCATGACAGCGATCTGGTGGACAGTTTTGACTGCAAAAATGAAGCTAGTTTTTACTACAGATTCAGTCACATGAAACCTGCGATGAAGGCTTTGGGATGTGCCAACAAAGTTTCATTGAGAACGAACGACGTTGGATTGCTCTGCTTTCAGTACATGGTGAAAACTGATGAAGGACACACCTGTTATGTAGAATATTATGTACGTAAGCCTAGAGTAAATTAATTATCTGAGAATATCTGAGGATCCGACAAAAATAAAAAAAATAATTCCAATGACGTTTTTTCCAGCTCTCGTTGCACTTGATAAAAAAATATTTCTTGTAACTTATTTTATCATTTTTCAGCTCTCACCACTGCTGGACACTGACGAGTAAATAAAATCGAGACACAATTCCTGAAATCTTCTATTGAGCTCTCAAACGCAGGTAGACTAGACCGTACTGTACATAAATGTATTTCATCTTCAGTTCATATTTTCATTTTCAATATAATTTGCATTAGCATCATATGGAACACATAACGATGGAATTGTCGTATTATTTTTCATTCTCTTCCTCTTGCAAGACGACGATACAAAGCTCGGGTTACACTCGTCAATAATATTGACATTCACTTTCACAGAACAACACACAATGAATATTTCTCACTCTGATGACATTCACAGTTATTTTATTCACGTTATTCGTGGGTACGAATTTATTTCGACAAACAATAATCACCAACGAGATTCCATATTTATAGAGATAGAGTTGAGAGAGGATGGATATGTCTTATTAATTCATAATCGCACATTTGAGTGGGTGATTTTTTTAAGCATCTTGAAATTGAAATTTTATCGAGTATAGTCGATTATATAAAAGCAAAAGGATTTGTTTTTTTAAACTTTCCGTTAGCGACCATTTGATTTTTAGAGGAGCAAAACTCGATTAGTCGTTTCATTAGTTAATGATTGAATTATCTGGGAAAGTCAAATGTTTATCGAGATAATTACGTAATTAACAGAAGAAAATATAATCTGACATCGAGTTTTATATCTCGATTTGTTTAGAAGCATTTGAAAGTCAGGAACTTTTTGATAGGATTTTCGATCGATTATACGAAAGCAAAACGATGAGTCACTCTTAAATTATTTTTTTTTTCATTGTCCCACAATTCGATAGTCCTACATTTCTATAAGAAAGTTGCCTCCACATTGTTTACTCCTATCGTTAATTTATCTCATTAAAGAAATATATGATATTTACACAATTACATGCTTCGTTAATTACCATAAAACCCATAGATTACAAATATACAATTATTACTTCAGTCGATTAATGTCTAGAGCACAAGCTCGATGAGTATCAGTTTTACAGATTCAGTAACTGTGATTTGAATGAATTAACTTCATGAATTTTTCAGGCATGTAACTGATGCGAATTTCGTTTGCACGAATTAATGATTCAACTAAATTCTCGATTGTTCATATCTATCGCATTTTAATTATAAATTTTAGTACGAAAATTCACCACGAGGTCATAATTATGATTAAACATTCATATATATTTAGTATAAATTAAAACGAAAAAGACAAAAAAAATTTCGAAATGAGAAAAAAAAGAATCCTGGTAAAATTAAAGGAATTTTTATCTAAATTTCCAAAATTACAAAATTAAAGAGTTGATCAAGATAATTAGATAATTGAAAAATTATTACTACCAGGAATTATCGATTCATATCGAGATGTTTTTCCTTTTTAATTAAAAAATATTTCAATGTAGAGACATTGACTTTATTAATTTTTGGATAATTGCAGAATAAAACATCAATTTAGAATGGTTTCACCCATTTTCTAATTTCTCAACAAGATAAAAACACAAACTCGATTCTCCACTTCTAATTAAGTACCTTGATAAAATTTACTCGTTGATCCTTGTTATATCTAGCGTTGATTGGCATTATCAATTCTCGTGAAAATACTCGAAAATATTGGCAAATTATTAGTTTAATATTAAACTCGCTTTCCTCACTCGTTTTGACATTTTATTGTGACACTAACAGTCTCATTGTTGATTTATCCTTGAGGCAATGGGAGAGGTGTACATTCTGTGCAAATTCTTGGACTCTGCGATACTAATTACAATAAATTATGATTACTTCAATAATTATTCCAGGAGTAACGTGGCAAAGGTAGAATTTCGTCTAGATTATTTCGCAGATATCTCGAGAGCTGTAAATTTCCGCGGACTGTTTTCGAGGTATTTGTGAAATCTTCTGCTATGACCTGCTTTAACCACGAATTTCAGTTCTCTTTCCAGACAATTAAGACAGTACCCATGATTATTGAAAAAAGACAAAACATAATTAACATACAGATATATGACATTTGTACAAATCAATAACAGGCAGTCTTTTCGGAGAAATATTTCTGCGTTTTCAACAATGAAAAGAAAAAAAAATATATATATAAAAAAAAATCTATCTGGGATAATTACAGATTTTCACAAATTCTGCACTGAATGCTGCCAAAAAAAACCAACGAAACAAACAATGAACCTTGACAATTAATATTTACAATTATCAATATTTGATTTGACGTTTCATCCCAAATCTACGGAATCTTAAATATTCTCGTTTACTGATGAAAAATATATATATTTATATATGTATCGTATGATTTGTGCATAATCATTCGAGAAGCTCCAGGTGTGACAGTTTCACAAAAACAAAAGCATAGACATTTTCCACAAATCAAAAATTGATTCACCAATAAATTATGATAAATTTCAATGCATCTCCATCCTCAATGGAGCTATCAAAATTTTTGTAGAGACTTTTCTTGCAGCCAGCACAATTATCTATAAAAAAAGTCTCTATGAAAATTTCGCCATTTCCAAAAAACGCCAAGATATAAATAGAAAATCGTTCCAAATAACGAAAAAAAATTTCCTGGATCTCCTGACGCTATATTTTCCTGCTCTCTTCTAGGCGAAAAATATTATATTCACAATTATGCAGTTTGAGCCGAGGCTTTTCAATAGATTACAGCCCAGTGCAAAGTAACAGACAGATCTCCAAGCAAAAAAAAAAAAATGAAATCAAAATTATGTACAGATTACGTGGAAAATTCGTATACAGCGATAAGTTGAGCCTAATAAAAATTACGTTTCGTGTTATTTTCCTTCTCGATGGAATGAGTCGATAGAATGTTAATTTTCCTTGAGGCGTATTGAAGCATATAAATAGGTATTTAAAAAATATATATCTTTTATTCAGGATGACTGACCAAACGATAGCCAGATGTTAATCTCCTCTGTATCCAGCGTCAGAGAAAACTGTATGTATTTTGTACTGCTCTACCACTCGTAGATGCCTGCTGATCAGCATTTTGCTGCTCTAATCTCTCTAGCGACTCCATTCGGGTCCTTATCGATCCACCGTATGTCTGTACCTTCAATAAACAATAGATATTCGTTAAAAAATTCACGATTTTCAGTAAAAATTTCTGGATTTCACAATTGAGAAAATGCTGTAAATTGTCAAATTGATGACCAACAATAATAAATTGTTGAATTGGAAAATACACTCGAGCTCTTTTTTTGGGAAATTTATCATTTCCTCGTGAAGTGATTGCAATTAATTATGAAAAAAACCACATCCACACACACGTCAATACCTAAATAACCAACCACTCAGTTATCTCATTGAAAAAAAAAAGACATGGAATGATTTGTGTGAAAGCGAGCCCCTTCCACCCACGGTCGAATCTCAGAATTGATTTTTTTTCGTCGATGTAATTGACTCTGGGGCATCGCTTTAGGCGTTTTTTTTTAAACTACTCACTGTCTGTAGAAAAATCAGACTTGAGACTGTGGGAGTCGGCAACTCGCGCTCACTCGAGAGGTGTGAGACTTCCGCTGCTGACTCTTACTTCTCTTGGCTCTGGGGCAGCCGCCGGTCTCCTCTCCTGGGCTGATTGGGCATTTGTAGCTGCCACTGGGTGAACTGGTGGTCTTGGGAGGTGGGTTGCCACAACGAATTCAGTTAGCATCACGTCAGCTGTTCCTCCAGACTCCAGGGGTATTGCATTCTGACGGAAATGATCCAGCATGTCCAGAATTGCTGGAAAGCACAGGTGCTGAACTCGACAGTGGCCCTGATCATTCAGTGTCATCCGAAGATGCTGCAATTTTTATTTATTTATCCATAGAAATCCACACCAGCATATATCAATTTCTATTTCCGAATGGAAATATCGTAATTATTATTTTATATTGTACTATAAATTTAATTATTCTTTTCTTTAATCTCCGAATTATCATTTTTGTTGTTTCATTTTTGTGAAAATTCCGACGAAAAAGTTGAATTATTGATAGAAAAATGATAAATGATAAGATTTAAATATTAATATTTCGACATTAATTATAAAAATTGGGTAATACCTTAGCCCTCCCTTGAAAATTGAAAGTGAGAACGAACTCTCCCTTTCTGGTTTCACTCTGTCGAACGAGAAATACTCCATGACCATTGGTAGCGCTGTGCAGCACCAGTTGTGCAGCATCAGATCGTGGCAATGTCCCATGAAACCATGGATACTCCCTCAAACTCACAGCAAGATCGAGCTCCCCCTCATTGGGCACTGAAAAATCAAAACCGAAATCTTAATCGCCATTATGACAATCCCTGTAAATTCCCCACTAATTACGAATGAGCAATCGCACGAATTCCCATTGAGATGCATTAATCAAAATAAATTTTATCTCAGCAGATCATCTTGAGTAAATATTTGCTGCAAACATCTCCTCCCAGATAATCAAAATCCAGAGATATACGTCGGTGATGTCTGTAAATAAATTCCCCTTCAGCGGGTAAATTATTCTCGAGGAATATCTACACCAGTGCAGCAACCTCGAAACCAGTTCCGATGCAATCTTTTCAAGTAAAAAAAAAAATGAAACTAAATTGGAGAGAAAATTAATATCTTCATATCTTGATATTTTTACGGTCATACCAGAATATTCTCGTAAATTGGTAAATTTGCCAATTGAGAAAATTTAGATCTACTCTAAACGAGAGAATAAAATTGTCGTGTATTACTGCAAGAAATCTGGAATTCTTCCAATTGCCTGTAATTATTTAAACACTCGTTCCTTTCCCGTACGCCGATCTGATCATTACCTAAATAATTAATTAATTATTTACGAAAGAATTCAGTCATTATTTATTCCCTGAAAAATTCTTATGAATTCTAATATTTGTCTCGATATGTCTCGAGATTTCGAGGGGAAATGAAATTGTTGTCGAGGCTTACATTGTTCAATTTCTTGTTGAGAGGAGCACAATTCCAAATTGCTGTTGCTCTTCGTTCTGAGTCTCGGTGGCAACTCCGGGGGATTCCCCACGTCATTTCCGTGATCGTGGGTGGATCTCGATGATTTGCTGGCTGAATTCGCTCTCAATCTGTCGCCATCGCTGCCTCCAGCAGCTCCATGACCAACTCCATCAGTGGTATCACTGGCATTAGTGCTCATGGAGTTCAAATGTGCGTTCCTCATGCAGTACCTGATAAATAATTTAACCCCTCACGAATTATGTCGAAAATCGAAGAAAAAGAAGGCGTTATCGATACGGATCATTTACTCATTGATTAATACAACTATTTAAATTCATAAATAACTAATTACGTAATTATCCCGTTCTAAATTATAGGAGACCTTGATGGAGCGAAATTATCTGCGTGAAAGGTCTCTCAATGAATTTACATACTTGGGGTATTTATATTCTATTTCATTACAGTTATTCGAATTGTCGGCTATTTTGTCTGCTTCCTCATTCCTCTCGATAAGTTTCCACGCCAAAATCTCGATTTCTTATTTTTCTTAGAATCTCATTTTTACAGAAATTATTAAATGATTTCCATGAAAAATTTTTCCACTCGGATAAATATTTCTCATATTTCTCATAAAAAAATGAAAATCGAGAATTCAATTTATTTCTTGTTTGAACAGAATTTATCGTTCTCCTGGTACAACTTAATGTATTTTTATGAGAAAAATATCTTTATCTCACAAGACTCTCAATTATCATCTTCGGGTAATTTATTCTTATTTATGTGAAAAGCCATTTTTTCAATTTGAATGCTCGGAAAAAATGAGTTTCTCTTACTAACCATTGCGCAGTGAAAAAGATAAAGGAGAAACGTGTACTTGAATCTTTTATTCAAATTCCTCGAACTAAAAAGTATTTATTCAAATGTTAGTCACAAGTATCGAGGACTTGGAAATTGTAAACGTGCGATACCTCGGTGGAACAAACCTGAATAATTCTCTTACAATGTAACATAAAAATTAATTCCCATCCTAACGCGCATTTTCCTATCGTCAGCTATAATTTCCCATTGTTTTCAGTTTCATAAATCCCTCAAGAGTAAAATATAATTACATGAATCATTCCAATTAGTAAATTTTCCCAATAAATAAAAAGAGAATAAAAGATAAAAACCGAAGTAAATTTATAACCTGGAGTAAAAGTAATAAATATTGTTGTATGGGTAATAGAAAAATTTAAAAAATGAATAGAATAATTGATAATGGGTGTCGATATAACCCCAGCACCGATTTATATTATATTCTTTTTTTTTCACCTGATGGTTGCCAGCCAGGACCTCATGTCAGCCGAGTCATGAGCTTCAATGACGAACTCAGCACTCTGGGTCTTCAAGACAAAAGTATTCTCATGATCTGGCATCTCCAGGGCAGTTGTCTCTCTGGCCTCAGTAATAGCTGAGCAAAAAACGCCAGAAATTGGCTTGACAGCCTTCGGCGGAGAGTAAAACTCCAGCATGTATCCCCCAATGGCCTTGATAAGGGCTAATCGTGATTTCTCCCATTTCTGTGTTCCATCTGGATTCTCTCCCATCAAGGAGTTGACGACACCCTCTTTTCTACACTCAACGACTATTTTCGAGAGCTTCGATTTCGAGTGTTTGTCTCGTCTGTGATCGCTGTGGGACAGCTCGACCTCATCGCTCTGCTGCTTGTGGAAAAAGCCTTTTCCCTTTTTCAAACCCTTGAACGATAATCGACGGAAGAAGGGCTTGTGCACTGGCTTTGGGGAGACAATGTCACCCTCGTGCTCAGAATAATCACTGAATTCCTCGTGGGATGATGCACGAATTGGCACACGATTGTTGTGACTAGTTGAATTCGTTACTGGATGACGAGTGTCGTGGAATGAGGGAGATCTGAAATTTTTGAAAATTCATTTCACTCGATTTCTCCTTCTGATTTCGATTTTCAAATAAAAAATTACTAAAACAATAAAAATTGATTTCAAATACTTTGAAAGGAAGAAAATATCAGATAATATTATTTCTTTCTTTGGGGAGTGTAAATGATTTTTTCAATGCCGATTTAATCCAAAGATCGACGTCCATATAAAAAATTCCTCCGAAAGTCTCTGGGAAGAAATAATCTCATTAAATATTATTTCATGTTTAATTCTTTTCAAAGAACAGAATATTGAAAAAAAATCGGTAATTATTTTAAAAGGGAGGAGAAGATGGTTAAAAAGCCGACAAAACCGACCTGGCACTTCTCCTGAGATACTCGCTCTCGAAGTGCTCGCAAAAGGTATCAATGAATTTCCTCAAGAAATCCCTGTGGGACAGAGTAGCCCTGGCACTCTCCGGCAAATTAAGACTGACATAAGTGCAAAAGGCCTTGGCAAAATCGGATGCGGATGCGCGGGCGTGTCTGTCGCAGAATTCCATCCAGTCGTCGGCACCCTCAGGCGTCCCGACGGCGTTGTTCCCCGTGGCGTTGAAAACACTCATAACAATACGTCGCTTTCCCGATACACATAAAAAAAGAAAAAAATCTATGCCAACCACCTTGGGCCCGTCAAAAACGAAAAAAATTTCACAGCCCCGTCATACCAATAAAAAAATCACCCCAATAATCCAAAATCACCACCCTGGAGTGAGTACACGCCCACATGTCATCGAATCGTCCGAATCCCCGTCAATTCAACGATCAAATTGAAATAAATCATTGCATTATCATAACCACAATTGCCCTCATTGATGATCGAGTGATTGTCCGGACACATTCCAATTGATGCACCTGTTCCACGAGATCAATCACTTGGGGGTAACAACCCGCACCCCCCCGATCACCCTTTGACCCCACCGCCCCTGTGTCCACGTCATCCCCTAGTTTATTCAACCGAGTATCACTGGGAATGATAGAAACTGAAAAACTGGAGAAAATGCCGGAGAATCACCGAAGACCTTTCAATTTTTTTTCATTCCTCCACCCCCACCCCCCGAATTTTCGATTGCCCGACCCCCCATGATTTTTAAAGAGGGGGACGACAGTGGCGCCGTATTCAAACACGTTTAACTCGATATTTTATTGAGTATCGAGGGGTCGAGGGGTTGTTATCGGGGGCTATCGGGTTATCGGTGAATTCCGAGTGAATTTTTTGGTAATCGGGGGGTATTTACTGAGTTTGGGGGTCACTGGTCACCATTTGATTGACGATAAATTATCGAAATGCGTCTCTTCGATGTACCGTGGAACCGGTGTATCCACCATTACTGTTTTGGTTGGGGGGGTGGGCACAAGGGGGCGGGTGCCCGGGATTTTTGACAGGGCTGTCACATGCCACGGGTGATCCCCCAATATTCGTTTATTGTCATTCGGATTTTTCAGGGAATACACCGGCATTTCGGGTGGTGCAATTATTTTTTCACTCATTTTTTGTCATTTTGGGGAAGTGGGGGAATTTTTGGGGGAAATTTTCACGATTTTCACGGATTTTTCATGGTTTTGACGACGGGTTTTGGGGATTTACGGTACGTCAGTTGTTCGATACAACCGATATAACGGACACAGCACCTCATACCGCGAATCTGTAATTCTGTATCGGCATTGTGATTATTATCCTACGGGCTAACGTTTTTTTTTCGTCGAATGGTGGATGAAAATTTGGAACAAATTTGGAGTTACTTGGGGTATTGAGGGATTGAATTATCGGTGGGCTTTGGAGTTGAGGTTCAGGGGGTGAGGATTGTGGTGGGATTTTAATTTTGTTGGGTGGTGGTTAGTTTTTTTTTTTGGTGATGGAGCACGCAGGAGAGGGTGACGGTGATCGTCGTGGTGGTGCAAGGGGCAGAGGAAAATCTTCCTGGACACCTGGAACTGAACATCAACCCTTGAGACGACCACAGGTTCCGGGTAATTATTTCTGTGGATTTGAGGTGTTAACCTAGAGACAGCTTAACCTTTTTTTTTATTTCCTACTTCCAGCAGGTTCTCTACATCAGGTCAATGAGATGCTGAATAATGCTTCGATTCATGATGTCGTGAAGAATTCCCCACTGTCTGCTGATGCTCCGGAGTTCGTACCCAAGGGATTCGTTGCTCCACAGCAAAATGTGAGCATTTTTTTCAAATCCATTCTTCAGGTTCTCCGGCAGTCGTCAGGTCGAGATCATTATTGAAACGCGAGTGAAAAATTCATTCAGGGAATTAACAATTTTTTCACAATTTTTGGGTTTCTTTTTTTTATATTCCTCATTTTTGTTAGACTAGTTGCTGAAATTTCCATTTTCAAATGCATTTGCGAATGTTTTATGGTAATTGATGTTTTGAAAGTAATTCATGTGAATAATTCTGTGCAGATAAAATTTCTAATGTTATGTGAATCTCGTTGGCATTCGCAAAAAATTCTCAGAGAGTTTCATGAACGAACACGTGATAAAACAACATAAAGTCGTCCACAATCGAAAAAATTCCACCTGAGATCAATTCCAAATCTTTCAAAAGTTCTCTGTGACTTATCAATTATCATAGAGAACGCGAATTCAACCGGGAATAGCCTTGTTCCAAGAGGATTTGTTGATTTGTCCAAAAGTTCAACGACTCTTCGATTGATATCATGCACATCAACATGTCCTGCTGTCAGAATGTTCCATTTCGTTATTTTATCCAATTCTCTGATTTTAATCTGCATCCAGAGGTGCTCTGCACTCATCTGCTAGGTTCTATCTCGCAGTAATTGATATTCAATGTCCAATCCCCAACGAAATCGGTACCAAGAGGTGGTGAGCCATTTTTTGTACTTCCATCTGCCATCACAAACGCGTTCTCATGACCGTTCACATGTGGCGGCACTGCCTCCGGCAGTTCCCACCCCGTCCCGAGATCGAAACGTCGTTGTCCACGGAAACATACCCTTGTCTCTAGACCTATATGGACCATCATTCCAGCATTATGATAAACCCTATTTTGTTCCTCCAAACAATCCAATTTGTTCCTCCAAACAATAAATATATGATATTAAAAAAAATGGTAAGCAAGAGTTTCAAATGGATTTTATGATTTTGTTAATGAAAAATTGATGGAAATGAACTGAATTATCGAAATATTCAGCAGGGCCAAGGGTGGCAACGACCCTCAGTCCAGGAACGGTTGAATGTTGCGAGGAGTGGTGGTCAGGGGATGGGTTATGCACAACATCATCCGGGCAGTCGTCCGCATGCTCATCTCGCCCAGTCGCCCTTTGGATATGGCGAGTCGGAGTATTCCTGCCAACTATATCCGCGATATGAGTCAGGATTTAGCAACTATGACAGGGATCAAGTGAGTTATAAGGGCGTTATGCCCTTTAACCATTTTTGTCCTTGAAAATTTAAATTTCATTGAGATAATCAGTCGTTTCGGTTTTCAAAACAAATGGGAAATTACAAAAATTTATCGAAATATTTTCATAAGTCAATTTTTATAGATTACCAATTGAATTTTATCGAATTGAATTAACATCGACGATTCCTCGATTTAACTTCAATAATTTAAATCGACGGTGAGAATTCCACAGTGAAATTTTTTTCACGATTCCAAGACATACTTTTAATCCAAAATTAATGAACGATAATTTTCTCGGAGATGTTTATCATGTTAATTAGAACCGACGAGTTGAACTCTAATGAATTTTTCCAATAATCTGATTACAGGCACCTCGCAATTCTGAAAATTCTCGAGGTGAGCAGGGCATAAATGCTCTGGTGCGTCAGTTGTGGACAGCAATGCAAACCCTGACTCGCAATCCCGATCAATTCGACGATTTAATCGTGCCATTAGTATGTGGTATAACCCCTCACTTGAAAAGCGAGGAAGACACTGAGGCAATAGTGAGTACCATAATAGAAAACTGCATAAGGGATTCGAATTTTCGATACAGCGGTGTACGTCTGTGCTCGCACCTGGACGCAGTGGAGACACCATCAGAAAACAATCCCTCAATATTCAGAACAAAACTATACGGTTGGTGTCGCCAAGAGAAAGAAATGCAGATGAGCACATGGCCAAAGGGACCAGAGCACTCACCAGAACACGAGAACAATTGTCATGGACTGATGCTGAGTCTCGCTGAGCTCGTTGCCCAGATGGATCCACATCCAGCCTCAATCCTTGGAAAACTCCTGGTGGAGCTGATCTCTCATATTCTGAAGAATCCAGGTCCCAACTCTGCTAAATCCATATGTCAATCTCTAAAACTAGCTGGACAATATCTTGAACGTGACAGTACGACGAATCGTCAGGAGATCGAACGTGTCATGAGGGAATTAACTGATCTGGTGACAAAGGGTCAGGTGGACGTTCACGTTGGGAGAATGGTAAATAGCGTTCAGGAGCTTCGCAATGGAAATTGGGGACGTGGTGTGTCATTCAATGACTCACAAGCTGTCGATGTCAATTCAGCGAGTGTTGGGACACAGCAGAAAGTCAAACAGTCGTCTGAACAGCTTGATGAACCTGTTCTTTACGGGCCTGATGGTATGGTACTATCTGCTGAGGAACGACGATTCTGTCAGCATCTATCTGGCCTTCATGCTGGCGAGGACTGGATACCTCCAACTGAAACACCACAGCAGGAGGAAGACGAGGATGATATGATTGCTGATGCTTACGAGGAATTTCTTAAACTTGCTCCCAATAAAAAAGACAGCAGTGTCAACAGGGAAAAATAACGCGCGGGGGAGTAAAGGAACTTCTCCTATTATTGATGTCGATGATTTTTATGATTTACTAGGGGGAGTGGGAATTTCATTGGGAATTTTCGGATTTTGAAGAGAAACTTTGTTGATTTGTCTGGACGATGCGGGATTTTGCATAATCATAGAGGAAATTATTTATCTTCTCATGTTGCTGAATGAAATAAATTACCGTTCAGGTGAATCCAGGTAAAACTTGGATAAATGTGGGATTTTCTCGGGATTTTATCACTGCTCTGTCGATACTTGGGGAGGTATTTAAACGATAAGAAAATATGAAAATTTGATGTCACAATTTGCCACACCGAGGACACCATCTGCTTTTCCGTCTCCGAGGGAGCGTTTGAAAAAACAGTAACAATAGAAGTTGTTTTCTTTGCTGTAATGAGAGAATCACGGTTAGATTAAGGCATTTTGTTTTTATACTGAATGAGGAATGAAAATGTTTGAAAGATGCAACTAAACATTATGTATCTGAGGCCAAGGCCAATATTGCACCTAGTCGGTTCATATAATACGTAATTTAACAAGGATTAATGGGTTAAATCTGGATTAAATTTCGATCGATTCCATATTCTCAAAACGACAACCGCGTCTGTTTTGTACGAATTTTAAAATGACATTATGGTAATTGTAAATCAATAAAGAATATTTTTTTCCGTTTTTAGAAGGCCAAATACGCATTTTTTTATTTTATCAATATTGCCCACTTATCAATACCGCTGATTACTCTATTTATTTATTTATTTCATCTTCGTTTAAACATGGATAGATGATAAAAATTGAGAATGGAAAAATTTTCATTGATCAAATATTCAAAAAAAAAATAATCAGAATAAAAATAAAAATTTTTTATGAATTCTCATTATTTTTCATCACGGAGTATCGATTGTTTATTCATCGATTCGCGTTAGGAATTCGATAAATTCTATCTGTTGGACCAATTACAATTTAATTATTTACAAATCTTCAAAATGATCACCGATTTTTGGAAATCGAATGGCTAATTCTCCGATATTTCATTCTCTCGTGCTGAAAAATGAAAAATTAAGACAATAATTCATAATTAATAATATTAGACATAAAATATATTCGCTGCCTGATGATATTATTTTTGAATTATCAATCCAACAATTGGATTTGAAAATCCAGTGTTGCCAGATATTTTCTGATCAATTCTCAAAATTATTTCTTTTGTTTCTCTCAGTTCAACCTCGAGTCAAGAGGACTGCGGATGAAATACGTTCGATTTAAATATATTTATCAATAAATAAATCATGAATGTCGATGAAATTCCAGAAGAATTCCTCAACGATCCTCAATTCCAGAGTAATTTCATCTCTGCGATGTGCAGTGAAATAGCAAAAAAACAGAAAATAGTCGCAGGTGATGAATTCAATTGATTCTCTCGTCATTTACCTCCTTTTGCATGAATTTATTTATAACTATTCCTTGAAGATGGTGTCGCCAGTATAAACAAATGTAAACAAAATATCGAGAAGGGGTTGGCGAACAGAAAAATCATGAAGACAACAATTGAAGCTGAGAAGATGAAGAAAGCTCTTCTGGAACCCACACTGCGAACGTAAGAATATTTCCAATTCACAAAAAGATTTGATTTATGTTTTCTGAACATTTCATACAACAAAATTCAATTAGCATTATAAAAAACCGATGTCACGCTCCTTTTCTCTAATTTAAATTTTCAAACATTATCCTTTTTTAATAAAAAAAAACGTGAATTCTGGATAAAATAGTTTCGAGATTTTCTTCCGTTTCTTCTCATTGATATTTTCTAATAAATTCCCAATTTTTCACGTTTCATTAGATTTTTTTCAGGTTGTATTCAATTGAGACAGAGCAGACGACGAGGCTAGCATTAATAACAGCGAAACTCGATGAAAAATCATTAAGAGAGAAGGCAGACATTGAGAAGTACAGGGAAATCGTCAAATTGTATAAAACAACGTGCCTCGAACGTCGAGTAAATTTCCTATCCACTAAATTGGTTCATTAATACTCAATAATTAATTTAGGGGATGCAGGGACATCCATAAAAAATCGTTCCACAATGAATTTTCTCTTTCCTTCGATATTAATTTGTAATTAATAATCCAGGAAGAGTACGAAGCAATGATTCCACTAGCTGGCAAAAGACGAGAGGCGAAAGTTGCTCTTCAATTAATGGAAATAAAAGTGATGGTGTTGATCCAGAAGAGGGACGAGCTCAAAAAAAAATTGAAGCAGAAACGAGAGATCGACGAGAAGCGAATGCAGGTGCAACTCGTGGAGATGGCGAGGATCTTCACCGAGAGGTACAAAATGCAGGAAAAATTGAAGTCGATGGATGCAGAGAATGGAAAACTCGCTGAAGAGTTGCAGGCGCTAAAATTACATGTAAATATATATCCTGAGAATATTTCGTTTGTCGTTTGTAATTAAAATAAATTCGTGGGGGATAATCCTAAGAAGCTGGGGAAATGGAATAAAAAATCCTCAGAAATGTGAACATTTCCTTCCTGGGGAAATGTGAAAATGAATCCCATTTTTTCAGAAAGAGAAACTGATGATACAGAGGGAAGAGGAGGAAAGGGCGAGGCTGAGGGCCAGGCAAATGATGCCACCTCCAAGACTGGACATGTCTGTGTTAAAAACTATTGATCCCAGATCGAACACTGGGCCACTGATTCACAGGGGAGCAATCGTCCGCAATTCTGTCGACTCAGGTGAATTAATTTTCACAATTGGAATGAATTCAAATTCATCAAACTCATTGGTAATTTATTTTATGGCTTCATTAATCGTATTTTACTTATTTTGTTTAGATAATCTGTCAATAAATACTGCAGTACTGGAAGGTATGATCCGAGATCAAAGCGATGACCAATCGATGGAGACCTTCGAGGAAGATGACACGGAGGTGATTACCCCCAACCCCCTAGCAAGATCGATCTCAAAAATCTGCTGTAATCAAGAGGATTTCGACAAAATCGAAGTGCTGGAGCGATCGTACAGTCAATTATCCCTCGATAAAGAGAATAATTATGAGAATTCACCGATAAATTCTCCAGATGAATTTCCAATTGAAGTGGAAGTGACTATTCAGTCTGGAAGAGTCATGGAGTCTCCAGTTCGCCAGCCTTCGTCGATTCTCAAGGCTCAATCAATTCAACGAATGAGTGAGGAGACGTCAGAGGGTGCACCAGAGGAGAAAAGAGCGAAGGTCGAGCCCAGAAAGGAATTGGATAAACAATCTGGGGAGAATTGTCACGAGGAAAAACATCGCCAACCACCGAAAATTCAATCTGTCGAGACCATCACTCGATCTATTCTCTTGCAGACTAAACCTCTGGTTGCTGAAGTCACTCCTACACTCTCCAATTTATATTCTCCAAGACATTATGCACCGAGTGTGTGTCCCAGTATTGATTTGGATGCTGACTTTGATGAATTTGAAACTGTCCGCGGTAATTAATTTATTCATTCAGATTATTTGTTAGAGAACGAATGATTGAGAGGATTGCGAGATATTGTTTGTCTCAAATTAGTAATTCATTATGAAAAATATATTGTATTTTCATTTAATTTTTGCAATTAATGAAGATCTGCCGAATGAGTGGCCCTCGCCACCTCGGGGCTGCGTGTCTGAAGCATCATCTGTATTTGATGAACCTATTGGGAAATCCGCGCATCCTACTCCCGAACACGAGCAGCAGAAATTGCAGAATCCAGGTAATTATTTCGAAAGAAAAATATTCAGAATGGGTTCATGAAGAAAATATTAATGTCAGACCTAAAATTTTCCTGAGTAATCGTTTGGTTTGAAAATTATTTTTTAACCGGATTTCTATTATATTCTAATTATGGAAGTGATTAATTAATTTTTTAATTTTGATAATTTTTAGTTCTTCCAACGATGGCCAAACCGATCTTCACAAATACGTTTCAAGGATCATCGAACAGTGGACATTTCTTTTAATTTGGATAAAATCAAGACATCTTTTATATTTTCCATCATTTTCTTTTGTCGTTCTATGTAGTAATAATTACAGAACATTATGAGTCCCTGAAGGGATTTTTTTCCTACAGTCACTCCACGTCTTCAATTTCCCTCAATTAATTACGTAATAGAGACACTTTTCGCACTCAATGATGAAACGTTTTTCTTTCTACTGAATTATTAATTAATTTCTTTTTAAAATAATTTTTCAATTTTTTATAGTTTTGTTCGTAATAACTTTCATCAATTAGTGACGAGAATTAATAAGAAATAAAAAACCGTAGCGACTTTATTGTTTAAATCAAGTACGGAATAGGCCCTTTTTTCTGTTTAGTGTGATTAAATAATAAAATAATGAATAATATATAATTTTATGGTATATTTTATGACCTTTTTGTTTCCTGAGTGTGACAAGGGAATTTTTGCATATTGGCGGATTGCAACCGCGAGTCAAAGAGAAATTGTTCTTCACCTCAGATTCAGTGCAGAGTGAGCGCCTTTGCAGAATAGAGTTCACACATCCAAGAGTACACGTGTCATTAAAAAAAATTGTGAAAATTACAAAATTATGACACGTTCGAAAAAAAGTAATTTGAGTTCAATTTGGTTTAACCCACAGCTGTTCACGATCAGAGGAGCCCCCCTGAAATTTTATCTGGATGGATACAATTGCTGTCGATTTTACGAGATAACAAAAATAATTGAAGTGAGTTTTTGAATAATTTTTGGAGAATGATTTCGAATTATTGAGTATCCACTGAGGAACAATTAAAAAACCAAAAAAGAAAAAATAACATAGTTAATCAATATTACATAATTAATTTATAATTCAATAGTAATTATTTCTATTCATCTTTTTAATTATAATTATGAAATGAATGAATTTTTTTTAGAATAGTACATTGCCACAATTTTAATTCTTCTTTGCCACATATTCAGGCATATGGAGGAAAGTTAACGAATCCTGATACATCCGGTGTTTTTATTTTCTGCGAACCAAGTTACCAAAGTAGAGGACAGGAATATGATCTCTATGATATTAAATATATCCACGACAGCATTATCGCACTCCGGCCTCAGAACCTGATGAAGTACAAGTGAGACACTTGATAATTCATTCACTAATTCTAATAATTGCGAATTAATAATTAATTTATTAATCACCAATTAATCATGAGAAAAGAATTGCCTATTATTTATCCATCATCAATTATTATAATAATTGGATGTAATTATATATCAATTTAAATTTTCAGCTGAAAAGAAAAATCGGGAATTAAATTTGTTGAGATTGTTTAAACAATTTGGTTTTTTTATATTTTATTCAGCTGTATTTTTAGGTTTGAACGAAAGAAAATAGAAATTACTGGGGCTATAGATGAGGCTGGATTGAAATATGTGAAGAAAGAAATAGAAAATGAAGCGGAAGTGAAGAGTGAACAGTAATTTTACGCCGAATACTTAATTAATTAATTAATATCGTAAGTCTTTTTAATATTACTTTGCGTTTTTAGAGATGATACGGTCCTGAATCAAGATCGCAACTCACCGAAGCTGCGAACGTCTCAAATCGACTCAAATCCAAAAATTGCGAATGAAACTCAGAAAATTGATAATTATTCAAGACTGAAGACTAGAGTTCGCTCTCGGCCGACAAAAAGTTCATCGGGGGTTCGACGTTTAAATTATCGTCTTAAAGAATGTGTCGTCAGCCTCGAACGTTTGGAGGAAAAAAAAAAATATCAACTGAGAAATGAACAATTGACAATTAAAAGTGAGAATGCAGGTAATTGAAAATTTATGAGAGCAATTGAAATATTGTGTGAAGATTATTCCACTTTCATTCAATTCTCCATTCCATAAATCAAATGAATATAGAAATAAACTGATTAATTAATTAATTAATATCATCAATTGATTGAATTGCATTTGGACGATCGCATTGTTTAAAAGTGGAATTAAATATAAATCAGGTGAATAATTGTGATTAATAAAATTGTAATTATTGTAATTAGTCATGAAAAATCAAAGCTTCGTAAAAGTACAGTTCTCGTACTCTAACGGCTATAAAAAAAATTTTGGAATGAAAATATAAATCCGCTATGAATACTTCACCTCAGCATTTGTCAAATCGGGGTGTAAACATTCCTAATTCTAACGATCAAGAGAAAATCGTGAATTTCATTCTGTTTACTCACTTTAATCCTCAATTATTTCTCCCTCGGAAGTGAAAATGTGACGCGTGTTAAAGACCCTTCAAAGATTTTAAATTAATTAATTAACAGTGCCTACCAACAAAAACTGGTGATTCAGACATCTCTGGGGAGAGTATTAATTTTACGAATGAACTAACAACATTAATTTATTAATTGACAATTAAATAAAATGATAAATTAGGAAATTAGGGATAAATGTGTAATTGTGGTTTGTAAATTAAGCAATTAAAAGTGGTCGACGTGGGATTAAAATTTAAATATCAACGAATTAAAAAAATAAAAAATACAATAATATAAGTAATATTTGAATAAATCTAGATTGCAATTGTGAAGATATGAATGAAAAATCGTGGAAAATGGAAGAGAAAAGTCCCAATTGGTTGAGTTCGTTGTGGTTTAACTCACGATTATTCACAGTCAATGAATTTCCCTTAAAATTTCACCTGGTGGGATACAACCCTTGCGAGGCGTATGAGATCATGAAAATCATTGAAGCCTACGGTGGAAAATTTTCGAGTCCTGATGATCCGGATGTCTTCATTTTTTGCGATCCAGGATATCCAGTTGACGCAGGAGAACGAGATCTCTACAATGTTAAATATTTTCATGACAGCATTGCTGCCCTCAAGCCCCAGGAGTTGATCAACTACAAGATCCACGGATCCATCAATGAACAATCTGGTGGATTTATGGATGTCGATGATTCCTCGCCTTTAAAAAATGAAGAGACGATTAAATTCTCAGAGTCAATCAATTTCCATCATCAGACAACTGGAGGTGACGAAGTGGAAACTTGTGATGAAAAAATTGACGCAAGAGATGATATAAATTCCAGTCAAGCTGATGATGATTCGTGGACAACAGCGAGAGCACAAATTTATTGTCGTGAGAGAAAAAGCTTTGTTAATGGATTAATGGGGAATAATCGTGGAGTCATCAACGCAGGACCTCCAGTTGATTATCCAGAGGATAATGAAAAATGTGAGAGTCCTTCTGAGGATGATGATGAGTCTGATGACTCGGGTGTCTCCAAAATGACTGATGACACTCTCTACTCAGAAGGTGCCCCAGATAATAATTCTAGCTCGAGAAATAATTTCTCTGTTGGAGCAAGACGAAGTACTGGCGGAAGGTATAATTACAAAAATATCATTATCTCCATTGATTAATGAATTAATTTGTTCATTTAAATTTGGTACCGATTTCTCACGTTCGGAAATAATTCGATAATTTTCGTCGATGACAACAGATAATTTTTTATATAAATAATGAAAAGCGATTGGTGGATTTGATTTTTTATAAAAAATACAGGAAATGAGTTTTATTTATTTTTTTTATCAGACGTAGTAAATTCACCCCCACAGAAGAAGACAATGAGAAAATCGTAAAATGGATTATGGAGAAGAAATTAAATCCGACAGACACAGGGAAAAAAATTTGGAGAGATTTTCTGGACGAACAGGTATTTTTGGATTGAAAAATGTTAACTCAATGAATAATGAGAATATATTGATGGCTTTAGATCCTCTCACATCTCGAATGCACACCGAGAATTTTAGCTCGACATTACGTAACTAATGTGAAGAATCTTCCGGTCATGAAGAAATACCTCGAGACAGCCGGGACTTCTCCATTCGCCAAATATGCTGGGTGAATTTTCCACATTTTGCTGGAATTATTCTCAGTTAATTGGGGATTTATCAATTATTTTATCGTTATTATTCCACAGGCCTCGATACACCGAAGAGGAGAATCGAGTTCTCATTCAATATCTCATCGATAAAGATGTTATTCATAGAGCGAGAGCTCATTCTGTTTGGAAGGAATGCCTAGAAGAACGCGGGGTAAATAATTTACAATATTTTATAACAAACGAAAAAATTAATACGTATTAATAATAGTATCAAGACTTTGTTCTCAATGCTGAATTATTTGTTGAACAATCTAACGATGGAAAATTGATAAATAATTTTTTGGGGGGAATAAAATATTTTTTTCGAGAGTACAATTTTTTTCTAGGGGGTGTAAATATATTTTCGTCAATCTTTTGAATTCCAGGACTTATTGAATCCAATCAGGACATCTACAAATCTGTGCAACTATTTCAAACAAAAACTTCGTAAAAACTATGCGAAATATACTGACGACCCGAAGGCGTTGAAGCAGTTCAAGAGCATTGAAAGTATCAGACAGCAGAATTGACAGTATTAAATAAAATTTCAATTGTATTGATATTATCCGAGGGAATGACACTGGAACAGTCTATCCCATTTTACAGAATGAATCGATAATTTATTTTAAGAAATATGCAATTATAATTTTTAATTATGACGTGATTTATTCATTTTTTTAATGATTTTTTAATGACACCAAGATGGAGGGGGTTGGGGGGAGCTCAATACTGAAATTGGGAAAGAAAAATATCGAGACGTGAAGATTACAAAGAGTAAAAAATAAATAAATAAATTCGGGCCCCCAGTCTCCAGACAGATGCACAATTTTGCGTGATGCATAATTAATTTAATTATCCAAACACCAGATATCAACGGTTACACACTGCTACGATATTTCCACTCATTTTTTTCACTGACTTACACCTGGTAAATAGTTTCATTATAAATAATTTATACAATTATATACATAATCGATTTTCATAACTTGTTTATATACAAAACGTGGTATCATTGATTTCATCATCGATTACAGTATTGTTTACAAAAAAAAAAAATGCACAAGGTAATATAATTTCGTAATCATATTGGATAATTGATGATGGAAAAATTTATTGAGTGTTTGCAACGGGTGCCAGCTGCGAGCTAGTCTGGGACAGAAATTTAACATTTATCATCGATAGATCGATCATTTTTCGCTGATATTTTTTATGAAAGACCATTGCTGCTGAATGGGTTTTAAATACGATTGTTGCTGTTCCCTCGCCCATCACAATGCTCTACAACATTAATAATCAAAGAAATAATTTTAATTACGCATCAATAATCAATAATTATTCAATCAATAACTGTTTATAATATGAATTTGAAGAAAAATGAAGAAAAAATATAATAATGATAGAATGAAAAATGAAAAATGAAAATTAAATGGATAAATAAAAATAATCACCTCTAGAGTTCCAATTCCCTGGCACATCCGACGAATTTGTGTTTCTGAAGTACTAGCTGCTAAATTCTCGATCAAAATGGTATTTGATTTTCCCTCAGCGATTCTCTTCACCTGGACTGTCTTCTGGAGAACAACTCGATTACTCTGGACTGTTCCTGGTGGTTTTTTAACTGCTCCAGTTATCGGCTCACTGACGACGACTTTCCTCAGGGTTTGTGGCCTCTCCTTGACGACAGTTCTCACTCCACCAACCGCTATTTTCTGGAGCTGGAGAGGTCCTTTCTTCATCACAGCCTCTGTTGGAGTTTGAGGAGTGACTTGAGTCTTCTGGATGGAAGTGCCAACTCGAGCAGCTGACAGTGATTTCTGAATAACAACTCTTCGAGTTGGAACGGCTTTTTGTACAGCCTCCTGGGGATTTGCATCCATCGAGGATTGATTATCTCCAGCTACTGCCTTCTCAGGTGCCTGCACAGTCCTCACTATTCTCACTGGTTTTTCTACCTACGAACAGATTTTTTTTTACCATGAATATAAGGATTAAAATATTTTTAAAAGGATTTTTGATTGAATAAAACGAAAATCAATTGAAAATTGTTTTATTAATGCAGAAGAAATAATTTACAAAAAAATAAAAATCAGTCCTAGTTTGTTTTCTTGTAATAAAAAAATTGTATTTTCATTCAATTCATTCACTCGCCTCTATTTGCGGACAAATAGACATCAATTGCATTTTTGTTTTCGTGATTAAAAACCGATTCAATGTTACAATTCATTAATTTATTAGTTTAAAATATTTGGGGCGAATAGATCTGCTGTATTCGAGCTTGAAAAGCAGTGAGCAATTTTTCAAATTAACAATTGTTCATTTAAAATATTCTAATGCGTCGATTGTTTTTTTTTACACACATTTTTCGATGATTTAGGGATTTCCAGACGTTCATGATATTTGAAATTTTAAGTTCTACAGGCACTTAATTTAATTATCGTGGTTATTAAAATTTTCTAGGGGAATTATTGATCAAGGTACCTCTGTAGCTTGTCCAGCTGCGACACGAATTCTCGGTCTAGCAGTTACAGTGGTTTCTGAGAGATCTTTAGCGAGGGTTGAGATCGACTTGTTCTCCGGCTGATGATCTGCAATAATTTATCGATAAATTTAATCCATCAATTCGATTTATTCACAGAATTATTCAAAAGGATAATGACGAATTACCACTGCTCTTGAGTTCCTTGGGATCATCTCCTTGTCTTTCGAGTGCCGCCTGTTTCCTCCGATTCTCTTTCTCCTGGAGAATCTTCTCACGCAGGCGCTTCTGCTCCTCCATTTTTTTCCTGTACTCACGTTCCTCAGGATCCATCTCTGCCTCCTGTAGATTAAATAAGCTCATTATATTTTTTTAATGAAATTCTTGAAAACTTGGAGATTAATTAGAGGAAAAAATGGATTTTCACCTGAACGTCTTTATGATGATCGTTGGCCTCTGGCCGATTGTCACTGGTATTTCTAGGTGGTCGCATTCTTTTGGGACTGACCTCACGTCCTCTGTTTTGAGGCTCTGGACTTCGTTTCTGGCCAAGTCTGGGGGCTGGACGATTCGATGAACTCGGTGCTCTCGATCTCTGATCGTAGGAGTCATTGTGATAGCTATTGCTCGGTGGAGGGGGTCGAGATCGAGGTGGAGGATCTCTCGATCGGGGAGGTGGACTTCTATCTCGATATCTTTGATCCTGAAATAAAATAAAATAAAATATCAAATAATTGCATTGAAATTGAAAATGAAAAATTGAAAAATTTCGACTTACCTCCGGATAAGGATCTCTGCTATCAGATTTATATTTATCATAATCTCTGTAGCTGCTATCACGTCCGTAATTACTGTCCCCAGAGTAACTCTTGGAGGGACTTGAACTCCTGGGTTTCGCCTTGTTCTCCTGCCAGACGTCCGAGAAATATGCGTACGGATCCTGAAATAGAAATTAAATAATTAAAAACAAATTGAGGTTCAATAAAGATAACGAAGACAATCCCGAAAAAAAAACTCACATCATTTTTGTTTTGAGCATAATTTTTCTGATAATCCTGTGAATTATCTTGACTCGCGGAGGCATTGAACTGAGACTGGCCAGGATATGGACCAGAATTCGGTCCAAATTGTTCATTCGAGTGCGAATGAATGACTGGGGGTTGTGGAGCATTATCCCAAGGCCTTCCTGTATTAAAAAAATATCACAATTAAAACAAAACTCAATTAAACAAAAGTTTAAAAATCTTGAAATATAATAAATTAATGAATACCTTCACTCGTCTGTTGGGAGTTCCCCCGAAAATGTGGATTGATGAGAATTTTTTGGGGGATCTGGACACTGGGCACTGGCTGCTGGTGGATGACTGGAGGATTAAATTGTCCAACAGTTTGATTATTGTTGTACCCAGGTCTGCCATCGTACATGTTCCTGGGGTCCCAGGGGGGTTCCTGGAACGGCTGACGAGGCTCGAAGCTGGGTTGTCCCATGGGAAGATTCTGATGGAGATGAGGTGCCTGGTGAGGCATCTGACTGGGTCCTGGGGGTCTGAAGGGAGGGATGGGTCCCTCGGGCTGTCCCTGGATCATTGGTGGATGTGGGGGGTGCATGGGTGGCACCTGGGGACCTGGCATGGGTGGCCCAGGGTGTACGTTACTCATCATGGGACCTGGGGGCATCAGTTGACGTCCTGGCATGTCTTGATCGTGCTGGGGCCTTGGGAAGTGCTGGTTCGGGATAAATCCGGGATTCATTGGACCGTTGAAACGTGGACCAGGACCTCCTGGCATTGGCATTCGGGCTCTGAAGTCCATTGGGGGATTCTGGTGGCGGGGTGGACCTGGGAATTGGTTGGGAGTAAAATGGCGGGGCTCGTTGAAGTGGGGACGGGGACCTCGGGGCCCTGGAGCAAATTGCTGGAACTGATTGTCCTGGGGGTACATCATCTGCGGGGACATTATGTTTGATGGACCGTTTTGAAAGTGACGGGTGTCTTGCAGTGGTGGTCTGAACTGCGGCTTCTGCTCTTCAAATGGACCTCGAGACATAAACCTGAGGATAAAATATTTATTCCTCTTTTTTTTTTATAAGTCGCAATTTTTTTTTCGGCGCAAAAATTGAAATTTTATACAATCAAAATTTAAATTTCAAGGAATTCAATTAAATTCGATTTGGAGAAGAGAACATTTTTTTCATTTCGAATTTTCCAGAAAATTCTGGGAAATTTCCGATTTTTTTCATAATTAGAACAAAAATTATTTCAATTACTCATAAATCCGAGGAAAAATCGATTTGCATTCCCGAATTTCCCAAAATTTTCATACAATAAACGAATTAAAATTTGCGATTCCAATGACCACTGAAATCCCTGAAATCCCAAAAATCCTCAAACTAAAGCCGCGAAATTTGAAAAACCGTAAAAAAAATGGGATAATCATAAAAAAAAATCTTCTTCATCCATTTAATTTAATAAAGGGCAGTAAAAAAATGACAAACCTTGGATTATAATTTCCGATATTGCCAGGATATCTTCCACCCCTGATGCCCCTGACAATTCCTCGTCCCCTGCCCCTGCCCCTGAAAACAGGTCTATTCTGTTCAGCAGTGACAACACTCTCCAAAGAATCCGGAATATCACTATTCATCTTGGGTGATATCATAGTTCTCTCAGTCTGAAAGCGATTCCGTCTGTCCCTCGCCTCCTCGCAATCGTCCTCCTCCCCAATCTGTCCATTTCCACCGATGTCCCTCTTGAGTAATTTCTCCCTCAAATCCCCCATCCCCGGATTCATCTGATTCTGCTCGTCATAATCACGCCGACGTTCATCGTAATAATTTCCACGATTATCAATATGTTCGTCATTATAATGACTTTGGTTATGGCTATCAGTCTCGTTCCTATACTCGACATTATCATCTTCACCCTCTAAATCGTCGAGGGCATCGGTCACTCCTAAATCCAGCACATCGTCTGTTTCCTCTTCTCCCTTATAGCTATTCTGCTGCTCGAGAATTAAATATGCCAAATATTTTTCATGAAATATTATCATTTATCCCTTCTCTCCTGATTTAATTTATCTTACACATTAACGTGTCTTCACTTTTATCAATTCATATATAGATTTTCTTCATTAATTATCCTAAATTACTTATCTATCTAAATATATATTCCTCGAATTTCGAGACGAACGAGACAAATTCATTTTTAGTTTCAACTTTTTCATTCTTCAGAGAAGAAGATCAGTAGATTAATTAGTTTTCGCTTTTTGCATTTATTCGATTCTTTTAATATTTATAATCCCTAATTTTGTTTTATTTATGAATTTTTTTTCTGATTCATTTTTTCTTCGTTTAGTGAGGGAGAACGTGGGTGATGTGTCAATGAGATACATTTAACGTGCATTACGCGATGAGTGATAGAGGAAATTGAGTAATAAATCGTTGGGTTGATTTTTATAAATGAATTTTCGAGTGAACGGCTATCGATTCTCGTTGCTCGTCGGTTTAAATAGTGAATGCCGATTCTTCGGTCACAGCCTGTAGTTGTTTACAATTGTAATTGCATTGTAGCATTATGTATTTATAATAAATCATGATTATTAATTAGATACAATAGAAATAATGAATGGAGAATTGATGGACTCTGAAGTTCAGGTTTTGCAATTATAAAAATTGATGGAAAAATTGTATTCGATTCTATTTTTAATATTTTTGTAATACTTGATGCTACAATGCATTGAGACATCGTATTACATTCATAATGAACATACATTAGCAGACAGTCGCGTGTACACTTTACTAATCTCAAAAAGATAGAAATTGTTGTCTTTTATTTAGTCCTAAAAATGTGAAACAGCTTGAATTCGTCAATTTTATGAGTGGCTGAATGACTTTTCACCGCCAGATGTTGGCGAAGGATAACTGAATGATCGAAAGAGTTTGACGAAAAAAGGCGAAATCGGATAAACAATGAAAGCCATCGATGCTTGTTATTAAAAAATAAACCTACAATTATTTCGTGTCAGGATAGACTTAAACGATAATACAGTAGATACGCTGATAATTTAAGATAGATTAAATAATTATCATCGCTTGTTCTTTCCTCAGCAGTTCAATTGACGCATTTTCGAGATTTTAATTGTCAAAATTTTGATGTTTTTTGGTTGCAACAAAATGAGATTGAGACGTCAGGAGGATATTATAATTTTTGTGAATGAAATCTCATGTTTTTGCTGTCGCTGATTATTTTTCTTCGGCTTTCGGATTATTTTAGCTTTGGATTGAAGTTTTTGGTTTTTATTTCACAGAATTTGCGGAAATTTTTGAACTAAAGGAGAACGCTAACATGGATTTACACACATACATACGATTCAATTACAGATAGACGATAAATGTCTTAAAATTACGCATAAACTTGGAATGATTCTCTTACAAGTCGAATAAACGTTTCACAATGCGATATTCATTATTTTTTATTTTATGGGAAATGGGTAGAGGTGATTCTCAGAAACTGAAAAATTCTCAGACAATTTATGATGACAAAAATGGTGATTAACATCGAGAATTTGGTGAGACTGATTGGAAATGATGAGGAAAATTCGCGACATGAAGTCTGAGAAATATTTGAGAAGATTTTTACATCTCAGTGACATTTTCTCCCATTTTTTTCTTTTGCTGATGATTATTTTAATTAAGATTCAGTCCTTTGAGTGAGGACAATGGAAATAACTAGCTCACCCTATCGATTTCATAGTCGTCAGCCAGGAGGGCCTCTTCCTCGTCGTTCCCTAGGTCGTACTCTTCGTCGCCGAGGTCTTCGTCCAACAGAGTATCATCTCTGAAACAAATAATTTTAAAAAATCCAGAATTATTAACAAAAATCGCAAGCCTTCACAAAAAATTCATCTTTCTAAAATAACAGACGAGCCCTTCCCTTTATCTCCATAAAAAAAATTAACTCACCAGTTCATATCTATTATTTATAAACAAATTGCACAAAATTCACTAAACAATAAAAAATATTTCCTCGGATTATCCATGAATTTAAATTGAGTGTAATCGTGATTTGGGAATGTGCATTTGACAGAGCTGCAATTATTCTCGAATATCTGGCAAATGAGGGGAGATATCAAAATTTTTATATGAACCTTTTTTTTAGGCCACCCATCGCTCTACAAAAAAAAATTATACAAAAATTGCTCTATCTCTTCTCATTTACGAGATATTCACCGAAATTCAGGTGCCCTAGATTACCAAGTCCAGTTGTCTTCTACCGTCAATATCTCTCGATGAAACGATGCGATTGGATAAAATCCGGTGTCATTTTAAAACTCATAAAAATATCTTGGGAATGAGATAAAAATAAGAGAAATCTGTTCCACCGTTCTCGAGTTATTGACGGCTGCAGAGAGTGCGACTTCAGGGGAATTTAGAGATTAGAGGATTAATTGAAGAAATTCAATTATTTTATCGGATAATTATGGAATAACGAATTGCTGTGCACTAACATATACATGAGATAGTCAAACAACACTTGGCATTGCGTCATTGTCGCCAAACTGGGAAAATCCAACCTCAAACCCGTTATTTCACCATTTTGAAGTTGTTTGCCATTTGCGACGAAACAATTGACTGAATCCAAGTGAAATTCGATGATACGCCATTGTTAGAATGGAATGCAACAGTGGAGAGGTGCGGATGATGATTTTTTATGAAAAATTATGAGAAAATATGCACTTACTGATCTGACATGGTCTCCTCCCTGGGATGGCTTGATTCAATCGATAATTTGGGTGAGTTTCGAGTTTTTGAGTGACGTCTTGATTGGTTGACTGTCAACCAAAGAGGATTGATTAAAGTAGAGGCTCAGTTCTGGGGGTTTGAGTGACCCCAGTGGCATCGTAGTACTGCACCCCAAGAGAGGGAGGGCGCCACACGCAATGCTGGGGTGTTTTTTTTTATTAACCAAGTTTTTATTGCAATGCTGGGGTGTCCATCAAGTCGAAGGGGTGAATTTTATTTTCTGCTGTACGAATGCTCTTTGTTTTTCATTTGTTTGACTGAAATTTAGCTGACTGTAGCACGTACGGAAGGGGGAAACCACATCTTGTGGAATTTCAATGGAAAAAATTATTCAATGTATTGAATATATACCACTAATGAATTTTTATTTTTAAATTAGCGCGTTGTCCTAGTGGTAACGTGCTCGACTGGCACGCCGGCGGCCCTGGTTCAATCCCGGCATCATTCATTTTTTTTTTTTTAAATAATTCCAATTTTTTTTTTTTGTTAATGGCAAATCAATCGAAATATTGTTTAAAAACTGAATATTTGATAATCGAGGAGATATGCAATGAAATTGAACAATTTTACATTTTTAAAAACGAAAGTTTTGCAATATATATACTCCTAATGAAATTTTTTTATTGTAATAATGCGTTATCCTAGCGGTAACGTACTCGGCTAGCACGC